ACCCTTAGACTGAAAAGTCATCTGACTACAAGGAGACAACTTAAGGTGCCCAGACCACAGAATGCTTGTAGGTCAATTTTCCATAGTGGCTATCTGCTATCTTTATAATGTTCTCTCTGACACTTTCAGGAGCCACTGTGGGCCATCTGCTGAATTAATGTCCTGACCATTTCCATCCACGAGTGTCAGGAGGCAGTAGGAGTCTGGAACTCCTTTCCAAGTTCATGTAGTCAAAATATCAGAACCTTGGCATTCCTCACCTTCTCCTAAAGGAGGTGTCTCTTTCTCAGGAACACCCTACATTCATCTCCACTCTTTTCTGACATGAGTCTAAAAACCTTCCTGTAGCTGTTTGAACCCATCCTTCTCCTGGCCATCCACTGCAGAGATCTCCTTGTCACTGTATTCTTAAAGTACCTGGAACTGAGTAGACACATAGCAAATGCTCATGAACTAAACGTATGAGTTAACGGATAACCTGGTTTCAGTGAGACAAGACTAGCATTTCTCTCAAGCATGCAGAGACCCCATCTGGTTCCATATGTCATTCTTTAAGTCTCTTTGGCCTCTGAGGGCACAGGAGGTGAGTGTTGCCTGACACAATTAAGTACTTAAAAGCTCCATTTGTTTTTCTTGCAACAAATGTCTTCCTCTCCAATTGCAGCCAAAGAGAAGACATAGACTGTATGGCTGCACCAGCCCAGCAGACAGACAATAGGGCCAGAGAGCCTATCCCTGCTATTCATACAAACAATAGCCCAAACTCAATTCAATTGCTCAACAGAGAGCCTTGGGCAGCTGGGAGCTTTCCTAGACTTGTGAGGTATATGGCTTGGACACAAAGCTGACACGCAAAGTGTGCTTATCCCTTGCAGTTCCTTTGGAAGAAGCTGTGCTCAGAAACACTCAGGATTGCCTGGGAGATAGACACAGCAGGAGTGGAGCCCAAGGAATAGGTCTCCAAGAGAGGCTCTTGTTCCTTTCATAAAGAGACAGGAAGAGACCCTGGGGAGCTCTCAGGGATAGGCCCAAGCCTGGTTCAGCTGCTGAGATGCAGCCAGGCCAATTAAATAATTGGTGTGATAGGGAAAGGAGGGAAGCCTCCACTCTCTTCAGGCAAACTCCCACCCCAGACAGGAGACTCCATGCAGCTGTGGCAACAGCAGCAGCAATAATAGAGCAGGGATCTCTTCCTCTTCCTCCCACTAGCGGAGAACTAATGCTTAAATTAGCACCTTGGAAACACCCAGATCTGCTGGCTGTGCCTTCTCTCCCAGCTCCTACCACTCCCCCAGGTCTCCTTTTCAAGTGAGTTTCTCTTTCAGGTAAATAATAAAAAGATGTTCATCTTCTCAAATAAGGAATGGCCTCTGGATTCTTCCTACCACTATGGGTGGGGGAGGATTATTTGACAATGGAGCCCATGTGACAGGCCTCTATCTATACAGCTTGGTCCAGAAAAGGACAATGATTCTGACACCAGCATTGCCTTATGCCCTTGGGGCTTAAGGAGGCAGCCCTGCCCTCTGCTCTCAAAGGGGGGTCACAGTGAGGGAGTGAGCAAGAGAAATAAACTTTCACTGAACTGTGAGCTCCAGGAGGGCAGGAGCACATCTGTGTTTGTGCTGCTAAACCTGTGTTCTTAATACCTAGTGTAGTATCTGGAACAGAGCAGATGTTCAATAATTATTTGGTGAACTGATTTGCTGAATCAATGGTACTAGGTCTCTAATGAAAATACCTCAATGATATTCTTTGGAAGGAAGAGTGAAAGCTATTATTTAAACTTTAAATAGATTGTCTTCATTTCATAAATGGGAAAACAAACGAGGGAAGAGAGACTTGCTAGAGGTCTCAACAAATAAAGGCCAAAAAACAAACAAAAAAAACCCAAAAAACGCTGAGTCTGAGCCCAGGACCCTAGTTTTTATGGTCTACCCAAATACCCCTAAAGAGCCATTTTGCCCTCTCTTCTACCATTTACCTCTATGGTATCCCATCTTGATTTCTTGTGCCTCAAAATGAAGGCTTCTGGGGAAATGCCACACAAGATTCTGCTGGTCTTAACAATACACAGGGCATTTAAGGAGCTTTGGGGTGCCTCTAGACTACAATCTGGAGACAGCGGTCAAGAAGCATGGCAATATCTATGATCCCCAAAAAGGGAATGACTATACAGTATGGCTACATGAGTACTTCGGAGAGTTTATGGAAAAATTGAATTAAAAGATAATATGAATCTTTCCATGAACATTTTGAAGACCCCTCGTATTTCCATAAAGCTCTCATTCAACCTCAGCATAGTATTCTCTTGCAGACAAGGGCTACTTTAGCCCTCTGTAAAAGGTTCTAAAGGCAGCCACAGCTTTTCTGCTAAGTGCCTCCTTGCCACAAGCAATTCTCCTACTCCAGGGCCACACAGACCAGAAGCAACTCAGTTCTCTACCCAGCCAATCCGCTATTCAGAATTTCAGGCAATAACAGAGGCACCAAGGACAACTAAGAGAGCCTAGTGGTCCTAATCCTTCTCCCCCTTCCTTGCAGAGCTATTGCCTCCCTTCTCTGGCGCCCCAGATGGAAGACAAGAACCAAATCATTGCTTCCTTCTCCTGACTCACTTGAACCTTCACCTCCTCCTCCTTCATTCACCTTCCCTTTTGGTTCTTGATTAGATGCTTAGAACTGTGGAAGGGCAGTCTAGTTTGACAAGACAAGTTGGCTGGTAAAGAGAACCCAGAAAGGGAAGTTCTCTTAATCCAGCTCAAAGTCCTTCAAGTTCATGGGATGAACCTCTTTCTAGGATTTTCTGGTTCCCAAATAATCCAATGATGGCATCAGGCTAGGAAAAAGTCCTGCAGCATGTCTCTCCCCAATTTAATGTTGTACACTTCCATAAAGCTTCTCTGTTTTGGCTTCTAGAACTAAGTAGTCAAAAAAAGAAGAAAAGTAGGAAGAAAGGCCACTATCTCCTGCTAGGTGGCCACTAATGCTTCTCTTTACAATCCCCCAAAAGGTGTGGTGTAGAGGTGGTCATGGGTCCCTGCCAAAGCCCATCTTGGCTACTGTAATGAGCAGGTTACTTGCCAAGGAAGCCACAAAGCACATCTGTCAGGCAGGGGGCTATGGGCCCAAGGGTAGAACCTGTTCCTGGCTACCCCGCCTAACAGAGGGAGGAGACTTAGGGAGCCCCAAAGCTTCAAGACTTAGAGAGCTAGGCTCCCTTCCAGCAGAGCTCAGTCTAGGGCATCCACAGCTTCAGGTTTGTGGTCCGCCCTGCCTCCTTCCAGCTCCCACGTGGGCTCCAAGAGGGGAAAGCTAATAGAACTTGAGCACTCCCTTCCTTCTCCCTCTATACTCATACCAGCTGTCTAGGCCTCCGCGTCCCCCACCCCTTAACCGGGCAGACAAGCTCGTCAGGTATCTACCCGGCCGGTGGCAGCGGGGTATGGTCTCCCTTAAGGCCTGGCCTCGGTACACCCGCGTCGCCCTCCCCCTTCCATCCCCTCCTCGTTGGGAGAGATGACATCATTCCTCCCTGACTCCGGGACCGCGGACCGGCGGCAGGATCCGCGCCTAGCAAGGACTCCAAACACGTAGGCCTAGGGTGTTACGGGCTCATCCGAACGGGTGGGCACAGGCAACTCCAACGCGGCCCCACCTCCTCTCCTGTCAGTTCCCGAGTGCCCTCATCTGCACCCCTGATTCTCCATCTCGCCTCAGCGCACTCTCCTTCCCGGTTCCAATACCCTCAACCTGGACTGCCTGAGCTCCGCTCCGGAGAAGAATGGAATTCCCAGGTCCTGCACCGACCCCTGTCCCCACCGGTCCCTGGCCCCAGCCCCGCGTTCTTATCCATATCCAGAGGACTGGCGGGCAGGCCCCTCCTCTTCTAAAAGCCTATTCTCAGTCCCTCTTAGCGCGACGGCTCTCCTACCATCGCCCTGAGCACCACAGGCCTCTAGGGCTAAATGCCTCCCCACCTCCCATCCCAGGCCCCTGAGCCTGCCACCGGCGATGCCCCATGACACTTCCCTTGCCATTCCCCGCTGTGGGCCTCCACTAGCGGTGTGCACCATTGTGCCCCTCTCCGTTCTATCCGACAGCGCTCTGCCTTCGCCGATGGTGCCCTCCGCCTTTACAAATCCATTCGCTCTCACCCCTTATATTCTCCCATGGTTTTCTGGTCCTGCAAGTCCCCCTCCCCCGGCAATGCGTTTTCAGGGTTCTCTTTGCCCTATCCGATGGCGCCTCCTCTGCATAATCCCCACAGCCTGATTCCCTTCCTCCCCCTCAGGCGGCGCCCCCTCCCGGCCCTGGCCTGCCCGCCGCCCACCCCCTCACCAGCGGCTGCATCTCCGAGTGCGCGGTGGGCACCTGGAACCGGTCGATCTCCTCCATCATGGTGCCGGCGGGCGAGCGGGCCAGGAGCCGGGCGCGGCCGGGGACACCGATGGGGACCGCGCGGGGCGGCAGCCCCAGGATCCCGCGGGTGGTGCAGACTAGGCCTTCCCGGACGAGTCAGGCGGGCAGGCGGCCGGGCGAACGGAGGGGTGGGCAAGGGGCGAGCGGTTCGCGGGCGGCCTGAGTCCGGCGTGGCTCTATGGGGTTGCCTAGCGCTACCGCGGCTGTGGCCGGGCCAAGCCGCAGGTCTTGCCTCGCCTCCTACTCGGCCGCCGCCTCCTGTCAGCAGCTCAGCCACTGCGGTGACTCGGCAACTCCACTTCCGGGTCCGGGACACCGCCCGGAGTCTGCATTATTCATGAGGAGGCGGTGTCTGGGCGCTCCAGCCCCACCCCCACGCGGGACACGTTATTCCTGAGGGGGCGGGGCTTCGTGGAGACGGCGGCTCGCCGCGCGCCCCGCCCCGCCCCGGGAGTGGTCTCCTGACGCGCCTGCGCCTTGGCTGCCGGTCGGTTGCTGGGTAACCGCGTCAGGGAGAAGCCGGTTCTATCCTACAAGGACGCGGGGACCCACAACGACGGCTGTCCCCAAAGAATCCCTACGACTGGGAATTGAAGTTGAAAAGAGTCTGGATTTCCTGTGCGTGGTCGAGGAGACTGACAAACTTCTTGTCCTCAGGCGAGAGTTTTTGTAGGCTCTCCAGGGGCTGAGGTGCTTCCTGATTCTGGCAAGATGCCCCCGAAACAGCCTCGTTGGCAGGTAATGCACACCCCAACCTGCCCTCTCCCGATGACCTCTGACCCTTGCTGCCAATGACCACTGATCATACCTCTCCTACTGATCTTTTCCCTGTTGACGCCTAACTCTCTCTACCCTGTTACCTCTGGCCAGTTCTCCCACTGACCTCGGACTCTGTTCTGCTCTCCCACTCATCCTGGCCTCCTCTCTCATACTGCCTCTAACCCACTGTTTCTTACTTCTCTCTCACTTGTCTTTCTCTCACCATTCCCGTCCTCTCACTCCACTCGCTCCACAGACCCCTCCTGACCAGTTACTCCTCCTTTACATCATCCCCAAGCCCCACCAGTCTGTTTCTCAATGCCCTCACATTCCTGTCCCAGAGGAATTATTTATCCAACCTTTTGCTGTATGCCCAGCACTGGACTGGGTGGGGACACAGGCCTGGCCTTTTAAGAGTCCATAGAGGGGGTGCAAGAAAACTGTACAGGAAACACCAAACAGATTACGTGCATAAGTGTGGTTTAGATTTTTCTGTGCTGGGAGACTTGTGAGGAGAGAGAGGTCAAGCAAAGAGGAAGAGGAGAGAGACCCTTTTCCCATCCCTGCCTCCCCTTCACACACTGCACAACCCAAACACTGCCCCAGATATTTCTAGAGCCTCATAAGTCTCTCTTCCCTGTGAGCACCCGGCCCACCACTTTGATTCATTCAGCAGTATGGACATTATATCCTTTTTCCCACCTGGCCAGATGTCATACCTTCTTCCAGGAAACAAGAGTCACAACCTCCTCCCCCTTAACCCACTGAGCACAGAGTTCTGCTTTCCTTCCCAGCATCACCATGGCAGGTAAGAAGCATCACCCAGCTTCTCCAGGAGCCCTCTGTGGTGAAGCCACTCAGTCCTTCAAGAATCACCTTGTCCATACCCTTTATGAATTATCATTCTGGAGCAATTATGCAGTTTCTAGCTCTGTAAAGCAGGGCTTCTATTTATTTATTCTATATTGACCTCACTCAAGCCTGGGTATATTGAAACTTGGAGAGCAAATCTGTGTCCATGCTACTTATGACTTTACATATTTTGGTCTGGCCTCCTCCATATTAGCCTTTGGTCTTCTGAGTCTTTCACCTGGCCTTCTGTAGCAGATGGACCTATCTTTATTAGATCTCTGCAGCCATGGGAGGCTGCTCTTCCTGTATGGCCATGCCCTAGTTTTATGTCAGGGTTGAACTGTGTTTTGAATCTCATGTGCTGTGCTTGGGCATACTGACCTTTAATTTACAGGCAGTTTGTTTTTAAATCAATATATTGAGGTTTGGTTTACACAGAATAAAATGGGCCATTTTAGTTGCACGTGTTGACAAGTTTTGACAAATTTATATACTTGTGAATCACCACCACAATCTATATATAGGATATTTCCTCTATCCCAAGAATTTTCCTGTGCCTCATCCCAGTCAGTTCTCCCTACCTGCACCCTCAGGTAACCACTTATCTGCTTTCTGTCACTGCAGATTAGATTTGTCGTTTTTTTTTTTTTTTAGCAACTTGCAGTTTGGACAAGCTTGGGGATGAGTTCCTCCAGCCTATTAGAGACTAGTTACACTGAGAGCAGAGAGAGGTGACAGCAGACAGGATGCTGAGAAACATGGGTCAACTGGCCTGCACACATTAGCACTGCCCTCTGGAGGGAAGAGTTGTTTTAGTGCAGAGTTAAGTATTGCTTTAGAGGTGTGTGAGAAAAGGCTGGGTTGTGCTAGGTTATATTCATCACCCTCTTGTCTTAGTGTGGATAACCTAGAGATGTTTAAGGAGTTGTCCCTGTCCTCTGGAAACAGTTCAATGGGGGAGAGAGAACATAAGCAGACAAAATAAGGAAGAATGGGCTCCCTGGGGCTGTAAGGGAGAGAAGTATGCAGGTTGGATCAGCAGAAAGGCTTGGATGCCTGCAGTGATGAGGGAAGGTCAGGGTTGGGTTTGTTAGGGGATAGAAAGGAAGGAGCTTAAATTCCATTTATTCATGTCACTCCACTGATCAGACCTTTTAGTGGCTCCCTGTTTCTCTCAGGATAAAGTCCCCCAAGTCCAATTTGCTTGGTATGGTGTTCAATGCCCTGTATGATCTGGCCTTTGCTACCCACTCTACTTCAGATATCACGATTGCTCTGTGAAAATTGCACAAACCAAGCACACTGAACTTCCCTCATGTCCTGGAAAGCGATATCCATACTCTCTTCTCTATGCCTTTGAAACTGGTGTTTCTTCTGCCTGCCTAGTACAGTCTTTTCTGTCTGGTGCCACCTGTTCAACTCCAACTTCAGGTCTCAGCTTGGCCTTCATATTCTCCTACAAGGGATTAAGTCCCTTCTCTGGAGGCAGGATAGGGTTATAGACTATAAACTCTGTTATGGCGGGGATCATATGTGTCTTGTTCATTGTTGATTCGCCTGTACCTAGTACAATGCCTGGAATACATTATATTCTGAAAAAATGAATTGAATATGAATTCTGAATGCCCTGATCTACTCTTTGAAATCTTCATCTGAATGTGTTTGAAGGATAGGAAGGGTTGAGCCTGGGATGGGAGACTAGTGGGGAATGATAGCATGTTTTTCCAGATTTATGTTTATATCTGCTTTGGCAGTAGGGTTATGAATGATTCAAATTTGAACCACATGTATCTATGCCTTAAGAGAGGGTTGAGCCTGGGATGGGAGACTAGTGGGGAATGATAGCATGTTTTTCCAGATTTATGTTTGTATCTGCTTTGGCAGTAGGGTTATGAATGATTCAAATTTGAACCACATGTATCTATGCCTTAAGAGATAGGTGTTGGAAACTAAGAGTTAAAAAATTCTTATGATATAAATATTCATTCTCATTCAATAATTATTTATTGAGTACCTAATCCATGCCAGATACTGTTCTAGGTATTGATGATATAACAGGAAATAAAACAAACAAAAATCCCTGCTCTCATGGAGCTTATCTTTTAGTTGGAGGTAAATTGTCAATAAACAAATAACTAAAATAATAGGTACTAAGGAGAAAAATAAATCAAGGAAGTGGACTAAGAAGTTCAGGAAGGATCAGAAGATTATAATTTAAATAGGGTGGTCAAGGAAGTCCTCACAGAGGTGAGATGTGAGCAAAGACCTGAAGGAAATGAGAGTTAGCTATGTGATATCTGGGAGAGAAGCATTCCAGACAGATGGCATAGCAAGTGTAAAATCACTGAGATGGGAACCCACTACACAACTTTTGGATCAGCAAGGAAGGGAGGGGGAAAGTGGCAGGAGATAAGGTCAGAGAGGTGCATCCGTCTACCCCACAGAGTTAATCAAATAACCCATGGTGTATTGAATTGGTCATGATGGAGCTCCATGAGTTATAATTTGTAATTAAAATGCATGAATGTCAGGCACCATAAACCATGACCAGCTCAAACATAACTGGTAATGCCCCAATAACAAAGTGTCCTTCCTGAAAATTTCAAGAATGCCAACTGGCTTCATGTGTACATGTGCAGGAAGAGCTTTGCAGTGTTGCCAAACTTGCCTGGCAGCCAAACTTCCTAGTAGAAAACCAAATTAGTGTCTTCTGTGAACTCCAGTTAAAAGCTAATTTTAGTTTATGACTAACAAATTTTAGTACCTCTTTATAACTCAGTTGGTCACCATAAAAAAAAAAAAAATTGAAGTCTGGAATTTTGCATCATTCTCCTGTAAAAGCCAAAGAAAAGACTTGCATTTTGGATCATTTTGTGATCTCTCACAAGGCCCCTCTGTGACAAGACTTCTAGAAATATTGATCTAGACTAGGGTATGGGCAAGTGGGAAGGATTCTGTGCAAAGCCAAGAGTCTAGGGTGATTCAGACATTTTGAGTCTGGTGATAGGGCCTGGGATCCACAGAATAAAGGAGACAAGGTAAGCAGAATCCATGAAAAGTTGATGTGTTTCTTTATGTCCACAGATATCTTACTGTGTCATTCTTACACCTATCTTCCTCAAGCCTTAGATATGAACTTTTACCCCTTTACCTCCTAAATATATCTCAAATCAAACCACTTTTTTCATATTCACTACTTCACTGCCATCTCCCCAGCCCAACCCATGACTATCTCTCACCCAGAGAGCTCGAAAAGCTCTCATAACTGGTCTTTCCCTCATCCACCCATGCCCTTTCCAGCCCATTCTCTATACTGCAATCAAGATCTTTTCAGACTGTCAATCTGATTATGCCATCTCTGACTCAGAACCCTTCAGTGACTTCCCATTGCTCTCAGGATAGGGACCTAATTTTTACATAACCCTTCAGGGGCCTGTATCACCTGAGGCCTGCCTGGGTCTCTAAGCCTTAACTTGTACCACTCTTCCCTCATCATTGCTATGCTTCAGTTCTATGTGTTGTCCCCTCTTTCTGGAACACTCTTCATACCCTCCCTCAGGTGTGTGCTCACTCCTGAGATTTTAGCCCAAACATCAATTCCCAAAACCCATCCCACTGCCCCCTGCCCTGTCCTTGAAGATAGGGGTAAGGTTTCTCTATTATATAATCTCATTGTTCTGTGTTCCTTTCTTCTATAGCACGCATCACAGTTTGTGATTCACTTATTTGTGTAATTATTTGACTCCTGTATGTCTCTCCCATTAGACTGTAAGCTCCTTGAGAGTAGGGCTTGTGAATATTTTTTCTTACATCTGTATTCTCAGCTCCAGACACAGTGGATGTCACATCAAAAGCTCTCAGGGAATGGTTGTTGAATGAATGGTGGAATGCGGGGGAAATAACATAGGGTGCTATGGAAGCATGTGGCAGGGGATCCTAACACTGATTCTGGGGAACTCAGGAAAGACTTCTGGGAGGAACACCAGTATTTATGGTTTGGACAGGAGGAAGAGTACAAAATGGAGAATAAGAAGGAGTAACCAGAGAAGTAAGAAGACAACAAGGATAAACGATGTTCCATAAGCCAAAGGAAGAGTGTGTTTTAGTGAAAGTCTGTGGCCAGCTAT